GTGTGTGTGTGTGAGTGTGAGTGTGTGTTCTGCCTGAAAGTAAACATGTCTTTCAGATTGCCGGCTCTGATCAGCTTTGCAACCACCACCTTGGAACTGGCAGCTGTTTGCTCAAATGCTGAAGGACGATCCCTCTCTGACACCATGTTACACATAGCAGTGAAATGTTACTGTTGATTTATTGTTATGGATTTATGAAAAATATGATGTTAAATATCTTTATGAAAACTGGAGGTCTCTGACTTTATCTATAATTTATCTTTGAGGTAAAAGACGAGACCCACACTGATAATATATAGGTTGATCATAAGTCATTATCCAACTGACAACTTGCACTCATTTGGGGTGTGGATTGAGTGGTTAAGAATGTGACAGGAACTTGACTAGGCTCCAGACACATATCCAGTTACTGACTGACTGTGTGTGTGTGTGTGTGTGTTTGGGACAGACCCCTGGACATGGCCTGTCACCACACACTGATGTGTTTATGTCACTGCAGCTGGGGTGATCACTCACACGCAGAGACAAACAGGGACACACAAATATTCCAATAGACACATACGGGCCCTCAAACCGCACCTGCTACGTGAACTCCACTGGCTTTGCCTGGCCTGTGGGGTCACTCTGACTCTTTGGATTTCCAGATTATGTTCCAAAGAACCTCACATCATTTGTAGGGAACAAAATATGTAATAAAGGCGCCTGTGGTTTTGGTCTATGGTTCTTAATTTTGACGTGTGTGGACGACTTTCAGCCAGAAAAGTACTTTAGTATAGAAAGTTCATAAAGAATGAGACTTATCTATGAGTGCTTTTCAGTGAAATTGACAGTGGCTGCACTTGATTCAAGTTCTCTGAATTCACTATCTGTGTCTGTAATCCCCTTCCTCTTGAACTGCTGAACCCCCCCTGCTGAATCCAATAGCCCTCCAATCAGCTTTTAAAGCCTTTCTATCACAGCCTAAAGAGATTTAGATGTTTCTCCTGGATTCCACAATGCCTCAAATCATGTCTCCTGGGAGTTTAAGACTGAAAGGAGGTAGATAAGAGGTAGAGGTAGAGGTAGAGAGAGAAAGAGAGAGAGAGGGAGAGAGAGAAACAAAACATTGGAGGTAGAGGAGGCTGACTGACGTTTTCTTTGCAGATGTCAGCTCGGTTTGACCCTGGTCTCTCGAGGCTAGCTGATGTGTAGCAGTTAAAGTGATCCCTGGCTAATCTGTCCCTTAGTGTATCTCTTGTCATGGTTAGTGTGTGTGTGTGTGTGTGTGTGTGTGTGTGTGTGTTATATCTGCACCTGTTGTCTGGGTATGGACAAACTGGGTGCATACGTTGGCATGTGTATGTACATTGATGCTGTGTGAATATGAATGTAAACTGTGCATGTATGTTTGTGTGTTAGGCTTTTGTGTGTGTGTGTGTGTGTGTGTGCGTGTGTGTGTGTGTGTGTGTGTGTGTATGTTTGTGTGTTAGGCTTGTGTGTGTGTGTGTGTGTGTGTATGTGTGTTTGTGTGTTTAGAGTCAAAGCTTTCAAACAGTATGTTAATAGCCACGTGATGCCAGCCATGCATTAGGCTGTGGGTATCACATATCGGGGCACTGACCCTGTCATGCTGACAACTTTACAACAGTCGTCGAGTGGTAGACATGGCAACCACAACCACTAATATTAGAACGACTTCTGAGAGGTCACAGGATGGCAACACCGAGAGCTGTCAATCAAAAAATAAAGATTGTTTTTGTATGCGTGTCTGGAAGAGCAAGCAAGAAAAAAAAGGAGAAAGTAAATAGAGAGTATGAAAGAGCATGAAGAGAAGAACAAAGAGAAATAGAAAGTCCGAAGAGATAAAAAGAAAGCAAGAAAGTCAGGGCTACAACCTGAGGTCATCAGCAGGTTTTTAGAACTAAATCCCTCTAATCAGCTTCAGCAGACAGGGGAGACAGACCAATCCATTTGCCCCCAGATCCCATTATGACAGGAGAGAGGAATGGAAAATACCAAATTGAACAGACTGGTAAAAATAGCTCAGAGTGTCCGTGTACTGGTGTGTCTATGTGCGTGCACATTTGGAGTGTGAGTGTGTTTGTGTTCAAACAGGTGTCAAAATAAAACGCAGTAAGAAAGCTGATAAGGCAGGAGCTGTAATGAGCAATCCTCCACAGGCCTCCATGTTAGTGGATGAAAGGCTCCTGCTGTACAACTGATGTCACAATTCAACCAGTTTATTTACTTCCCCCCCAAAAAAAGAAAGAGATTTATTGATTTATAGAAGCCAGAGAACAGGTTAAGATCCCTCTGTTATTCCCCACCACTCTTTCTTCTGTCTCATTCTGCCACACTTGCCCC